AAAGGATCTTCCAGACAAATCTTCAAATATATCACACTACAACAACATCTAAGGTATACAGAAGATACGGTAGAAAGGCTGTTATATCTCCCGTGGTGGTCTACCGCCTCATGTGGCGCAGAGGTGACTCTGAGTGTCGAACTGTGAAGTACAGCGGAGGTTTATCCTTCAGCAGGGTCTCCTAAGCTGAGAAAGAGTTCGACGTTTCCGGTTCCTTGGCCCAGCTAAGAGTAGGCCATGCCAGCACCACTATCTGGCTGATTCAGTCTCTAGGTGGCTCCCTGATCCACATCAAGTCAGCGATTGCCTGTGATGAATGCTTGGCAGGGCTCTGGGCACTGCTAATGTTTGGGAAGATGTCCTTTACTCCTTACCTGTACAGCATGCGAGAAAGAGAAGCCTTTCACACCGAATCACATCTACGATGTCGGATGTCATCGAGATCTGTGTCAGGTTGCACAGGACGCCATGGATTTCAGACCAAAAGGACTCGTCAGCGACTCGCCATGGAGATTGTCTCATGCTCTGCACCTATAACGCCAGGACAGTCTCCACCATCTCCACGCCCTTCTCGAAGCTGCAGGGCGCATCAAGAACCACGTAATCGCCTTGCAGGAAACAAAGTCCAGGAAGAAGTACGTGAGGCAGCTGAGTGACGGCACACTCATCATTCATGGTGAAAAGAATCCATCACGGAACATTGAAGACGTTGGATTTGTCGTGGAATCGCATAAGACCCTATCACCTCGCCTGGTTATCTTTCGACTCCTTCTCTGCATCAGAAAGCCATCACTATCATCAACTCCTATTCTCCAACATCAGCAGCTGATGGTTCGGAACTCGATGCTTTTTATGAGGATTTCGAGGGAGTCATCCCAAAGAAAACTCCTTCTATAAGTTCGTTGTGGATGACTTCAATGCAAAAATCGGGATGCTAGAAGAAGGGGAGCACAAGATTGGGAGATTTAGATCAGGGTCCAAAAAAAGATAACCGTCTTGTTGGGCTCCTATCCGCCGCACGACTTTTCATGGCAACTCCATCTTCATGAAGAAGGAACACCGGCGGTGGACATGGGAATCACCCAACGATAGGACTCAAGCGGAGGTCGACAACATTCTCATTAACGGCAGGTTGTGCTTACCGGACGTCTCAGTTGTGACCTTCAGTAGTGGCTCAAATCACCGCTTCCTTGAAGCAAAATTGCGATTCAGCCGAAAGTCGGAAAAGGAGATCTGCCACCGTGTTGGAGGAAGGAGAAAAGTCGTATATGACGGCATCAGATTGGAGGAGCTCCTGACCATTTGTGACTGGCCCATCGAGGAGGATCTAATCTGAAGATCTGACGAAAGACTACGACCTGCTTCTTAGAGGACTGAGAGCCTTGGCGAAAGTGCCTCAAAGCCTCGCACAAGGAACTTGGTACAAATTCCGAAAGCTACTAAGGATCTGCTAGAGAGGAGAAGAGCACATAGGCTGGATTCGACTACATCACATCGAGTACAGGCCTAAATAAGTGCCGCAGGGACCTTCTCGACTACCGTGTTTCGCTGACAACATTACTAAAGAAGACGGGAGTCGCACATTGCCGACAAATGATGGAATCGATCACGAAGAGTTTCTATACCACTCTCTTTTGCTTGTCAACACCTATGTTAAACCCCGTTATCCCCACTGGAGAACCATCACCTCGGCTTCTACCTGGAGGACATGGCCTACACAAGATACTTGCTGAACATCTAACGTCTTACCTTCAAAATGAAAGGATTCCCGTCCAGTGGAGAACCTCTCGAACAATCCTTCTTCATAAGAAGGGTGAC